ATGGCCATGTTCAGAAGATTGAACTTGTGACTCAAGAGAATTTTTCATTTGTTCGATGTAACGTGCTGCCATCAATGAGAAAAGATGCGATTTACAAGTGTAAGCTGTGCCTGCGTCCAGATGGCATGGTGAACCTTGCACTATGCACATGTACTGCTGGCTTGGGTGGTGTGTGCAACCATATTGCAGCCTTGCTCTATGCACTTGAGGAGTATGTGCGTATTGGGCTACGTGAGGAAGTTGACGTTTCCCCAACGTCCCGGCTTTGCAGGTGGAACTGACCCAGGCCTAGGAACGTTGTTGCTCAGCCAATTGTCGACGTCAGGCTGACAAAGGCTGCATTTGGCTCCCAGCGTCAGTCTGAAAAGCGTTAACCCGTGTATAACCCCATCTCACCGAACAAGCGTCTCGTCAAGCCTTCAGAGTTGACAAAGTTTCGTGATGACCTGGTTGCAGCCCACGATGATGCCATATATCCGCACTAACACACCACCACAAAATGCATCCGTACATATATATCCGGACAAACAATGGCCATGCTGCTGTGTCTGCGCTGTTCATATACTGTATATCATAATAATACATCACTCCGTATCTGTCTTTTCATGAAATGTTATCACGATAGTGTGACTCCACCGAATTATCTGCATGTATTTTTTTAGTAGTAGTAAATGCTTGGCTAAAATTCCCAAGCTCAGCTGCTGTGTAGTAATACAACTGTCTGATGAGTGTTATTTTCAATCACGAAGTTCTGAGTATCGAAAAAGAAAGACTTGCTTGTGTCATTGCCTTGTGAGAATTGTATTTTTAGTACATATATACAGAAGTACCCATCGTAGCAAGTACCGGCACGACAGAGTAAGCGTTCGTCAATTAGTTCAAATGTATATACATGTATCAGCCATAAGCTGTACTATTATGCAAACAAGTTGTGATGATAGTGTCCGGATGAAGTTTTTATGCCACCAACGAGCCCTGGAAATTAGTCAACATTGCGCACACGTAAATAAGCTGGTCTAGAATGTCAAACATAGTATTATCAACTTCCTTGCCAACGATCTCAAAGCACTTGATCCTCTGCATTTTCCTTTCTACATGAGTCCGTACAGCAGCAATTTTCTTTGTACTTGCAAGATCTTGAGGGGTCATTTGGTGTCCTCCTTGGCGAAATGGGGGGATGTTCAGGCGGACCCCATGGCTAACAAGAAGATCTTGTATGTCAAAACCTTTGTCTGCCATAATGGAATCGCCATGCTCTAATAAACTGATTAGGCCGCTCTGTTCTGTGATGGCACGATCCGACACAGATCCTTCGAATACTTTCGAAACAAATGTCACATGGCCATGCGGTGCAATGCCGATAAGGCATTTTACCGTGTTGTGGTTCTTGTACGCCGACCACGTAGCACTCTGCCGCGCCAGCGATGATGGGATGTTAATGAAAAACTCTGTGCAGTCAATCACAACGCAAGTTGTTGCATACCACTGCTTGCATGCAGGTGGCATCAATTTGTCTATTCTTCTCCTTGAAAGCCAAGATGGAAGTTGACGAAACTTATGGTACATTAAATTTACCCAGGTTGTGACAGTGCGCGAGACAGTGGATGGGTGGACTTTAAACCTGTCGGCAAGGTCAACTTCTTTCAGTCCAAGACGAAGATGGACGAGGACGAGAAAGAACTGCTCCATCAGCTCTAGCTTCGGTTTACTGCCTGGTTTGCTGCCGTGTTGCATCGCGTCATTAGGTGCCGTCCGTGAACCCATCCATGTCCGCACCACCTTGGCGGAATCGTGCAGAAAGTTGAAGCACGCCATGAACATAAGGAACGATGAAAATCCAGTGTAGAAAGACAATAATTTCTGTTTATTTTTTACTCTGTGGATAGAGAACACATGTCTCTCTGCATCATTTAACTTGGCTTCCATGTCCTCTGTGGCCAAGCAACGACTTTTGAGGACCTCGTTCTCACTCTTGAGCAAATCCACTTCTGCTCTCAGCATTTCAACACATTCACAGTGCTGGTGTTCAACTGGTACTACATATACGTCTGGGGAGTCATCTGCAGAAGGGACAACATCAGTGGCAGTTGCAAACTGGGTGATGACACTGGAGGCGCCTTGAGCTGATGGCTTTGGCTTCTTTGCCGAGGGCAGCGCGTGTCTTTCTGCTGGTGGCTTGCGCTTAGTCACTTCAGCCAAGTTCAGGGCGAAAATGGAAAATCGTAGGTACGGCAGTTGGCAGAAGCCTTCGGCGAGTCTGTTGTGACTTCTTCTGCTCGGACGGTCGCTTGTGTGCTCCTGCGTGATATACTTCATCCGCGAAGTGCCGAGAACACACTTTCGTGTGCTTCGTGATGGTGAAAGCGGCTCCTACATCCCTATGAATGTTGGCGATCCAACGCTTTCTCAGGTCTTTGTCTTCAGGAAAACTGTGGAATGCGACTGCGTCGTCTCCAGGTTTTCCGCTGTTGGAAACACACTGCGGGACACAGCAGTGATGAGGCATACTGTCGACAGGCTTGTACAGGATACAGATCCACGCAGAACTACAACACGCTGTCAAAATACGACCAACCTATCAAACAAAATCAAACCACTTCAGCTTCTTCTCCAACTCGAGTCATGTCAAGGACACCCATTAGGTTTGAAAATGACCGTTACGCGATGATGTCATCGTCTAACGCGCAAAAGGACTATCGGATTTCACTGGGCAGAAGTCTGTAGCCTGTGTAGGTGACACCCAGTCACGCACAACTGCCACAGGTGACATGCGGGACTGAACCGCCACTGCTACTGCAGAAGCGCAGCGCTGGCGCAGCTACAGTAAGTTAGTTTGACACTAGCACCTCATCCAGTGTCACTTGTCCTGCATCACATCAATTTATAGCTACTGTAGCTCTGTCAGTCACGCTTGGTTCTGTTCCACCCTGTCAGACATTTGGTGGACCTCCTTGCTTTCGGATTGGGTCTATTGAGTGTTCTTTGTTGTTCTCTATAATTATAGTAGCTAGGACTCTATCGATGCCCAGCCAGTCCCGGGTTCGATCAGCTCATACAAAAGATGATGACATTTCTATGGACGATCGAGGATGAATGGTGAATCTGGCAAAAAATGATACAGAAGTATTCATTGCTTGATGATCGAGACTACGTGAAACTCGGAGTTGAAACACAGCCTACTCTCTCTCTCTCTCTCTCGCTCTTGTGTAGTGGTATCCGCCATGACACGAAAACGGGAGTGAAGAGACTATGATATTGCCGATATTGCATGTGCCATCTGCATGTTGCATGTTGGTGCATGGTTGGTTGGTCTTACATGTATTTCATCGCTCCCTCCGTTCACTCTCTGTCAACCTGCCTCGCCGTATGATCCTGGTTGTGTGTCAGCCCTTGAATACAGGCAATAACGGATGTATGCAGTGCACAACATACATACACTATTACGTTGTACTAGTACTAGTACTAGTAGTCTTCCTCAGCTCTTGAAAGTAAGTAATTATTTAATTAGTTGTTGATTGACGGCTGCATGCACTTCATTGAATAGACAGGCATTCAATAAATACACGATACTGCATACACATACATGTACATGTACATGACTGTACAATCAACAGCAAAGTCATGTACATGTAGGATAATATGCGGCGCCTTGGAACTGGTTAGTTTTGTTTCCATTCGATGTGTAGTCGCAAATCGATTTATAAAGTACCCAGGCATGGGACATTCTATCAACTCTATACACATGCATGTATTTTGGGCAAAGGCTAATAAAAGCTCCCACTCGAACCCTACAGGGACTTGCAATTGAAGCACTATTGATACTACTGCCCAAATCAACTCTTCCCTCACAACCACCCAAAGACTAGGAAGAACACCGATCGGTATAGTAAATCTCATCTTTCCCGCGTTCAACTAACTTGGGCCAGCGAACTACCCTGACCAGGATACCTCTATGGAGCATCAGCCTTGGGTACTCATCTCAATGACGTGCGATGAGCACGAAATGTTTGCAGCGTCACAATGTAATGTTTCCGTGGCGAAATTGAAAGGATATTCACGCAGTGAAACGAGTTAGTTGCGCACTCAGTACCAACAACGCCATGAATAAAACTACAGAGTACAGTCGACGCCTCAATTACAATCATGTACATGTACATGTATGATTTACGTTCAATGAACAGTTCCGGGGCCAAGCAGAACTGAATCCGTAAACAGTAGCCACCGCTAGTGCCTCATTCTAGGAACAGCTAGTGGTGCGCTGCATTGGAGTGCACCCCAGTATCCCGGGTATACCCAACTGCACGCCAAGTACCAATGGTCGAGGAGCGACGAGGACCATGGTACCTGTAGCCTGAGTAGGATTTGTCAAGTCACTATCTGGTGTCAAGCGAGATAGTTTGTCATGTACGCGACTGTATGTCGATTCATAGTCATACCCGAAATCATTCATTCAATGGCTATAATAAAATTAAGTGTTGAACAAAATCACTGTAGACTACTACAGTACTAGTAAGTTTACGTCAATAGGAGTCCAATCCGATACAGAACTCTAACTAGGGTTAGATAGGGGTCTGATGACCAAGCAGTACGTGCTACTTCAGTTCGGCACAATGCCCGTGAGGTACTGCCCACTGCCCACGCGATATTTTCACAGTACAACATTGCGGCGCAGAGGGCAGGATGCAACGAAAGTGTTGATGGGAAATGTCTTCATTCCGGGGTTTCGGGTGGACTGGTGATGCGGCAACTTACTTGTGAATGCCTGTACTGTACTGTAGATCTCAGAGGAGCACTCCGTCAGCCAGCTGCACACCCACATGTACAGTCATGTACATGTTGATTTACATTGTGCCTTGGCGTTTGTTTGGTATTGATTTACCTTGGTATTGCTTTCGTACATGTATATTACGGCATATGCAAGCTGAATTGGCAGTGCCTGTCCGCCAGAGGTTTTCGCCGCATCTTCAGCTCCAGTCGCGGTCCTTATAAAAGAGAGCTGGGCTTACTCCCTCCTCAGTAACTATTTCAGTTTCATAAAGCCGGGCGAGAGAAACCTCCTTAGAAGAGAATTTCAACTTGTGTACTTGGTCAGGTGATAAGAGGCTGCCAACCCACAAAGCAATTTTCAGCAAGCCAAACTGATCTGACAGGACCTAAACTTTCTGATTTCAGATAAGCGTACGTGATTGCTGCAATGGCGCTTCTGTTTCAATGTTCTTGCTCCGTAAGAGGTAGCGTCGGTGTATTTCTGCTGATTCTGGTCGCCTTCGTCAGTTCTGGACATGCTCAAAGTAAGCCTATTGCTACAGTAATCATAAGCTTTACATGTACATGTAATACTATGTGAAGCCGAAGTGAATATCAGCCCATGATCCCGAGGCTGAATGTGACATTAGACTTCAACGTAAGGTGATATTTGGATTCGTTCTTTGGCACGAAAACCGCCCTGGTAGTCAAGCCCACCTTAGTCAAACCCTAGTTTGAGATGGATAGTGTGGGGTACATGTGGGCAGGTACAGGACGCCGGATGGATGCTTGAAAAGTAGGCGAGTGACTATCACTCTGGATAAAACAAAAATGATAGCCAATTTATCGAGCAATATCCGCCAAGGGCTAGTTTTACACACCATGAGAACATAACACTAAATACACCTACTTCTCTATGAATTCTGCAACGCCATAACTATGCAATGATTTTTCTAAAACTTTCATAAGGCAATAAGCAGAATCAGTGAAGCGGACATTGGACGTAATCATGAACAAAAATAAAAGATGGAGAAGTTGGATAAAAAGTTTCCGAACACGTTTTCTAGAGACATTCATCAGGGAAAATACGTCTCAATACTGAAATCAAGCAATAAACAACGATATTATAGATGTACGTGGAAGAGTACGAAATGCAGTATGTGAAAGAAAATAGTAAAACTGTCATGTTCTGGTTTCCTAAATTATTATCCATTGACCCCGCTCGTTCCTCATTCTGCATTCTACTTGGCCTAGAGGAAGAATAGGCAAGCTTGCTTGGCGATGTCAATGCGATAATAATACCAGTAAAAAATCGATGGATTTTCAATGTTGAAATATGACGATGAAGAACCGTACGGGTTTCAAAGTGCAGGAGGTACAGTTGTTTTCAAGTTATCTAGATTTGTACAACACAAATTCAGATTGCCAATTTTGGATTTAAACTAGACTTTTATTGATCCTTTCCCGCTGCCGTTTTCGTCTCTAATGCCTCTTCCCTTGCTGCAGATGTCCGCGTTATGCTCGACCAAGCCGACTTGATTGGTGCAGGCACGCTCCGCGCAACGTGTGTCGATATGGATGGCAACCCTACTAATCTGCCAGTCACCTGGTCGTTCGCCGATGATTCGGCCGTCCTACCTGAGGGAACGAACTTCAGCATCAGTGGCCAGAATTCCGAGACGATTGTCCTGCGCGTCGCCAGGGTAGTCATGCCTGACGATAGCCTAGTTAACCTCCGTGCGGTTATCCGTTTCAGGTGCGCTACGCAGGTGTCCACGAGCGATGACGCTACTGTAACGCTGTGTAAGTTTCCTATTACAATGTAGCAACATCCGTAGTCCAATACAATGTGTGGCGCAATAACCAGCAGGTTTTCTCTACACATAATCCTAGCACAGGAGGCACGCAAAGGTAGTGAGGGTTTGTTTGAAGTGACTCATTAAACCCACTGTTGTATTATTATAATATGAGTCATTATATCATGGTTGTACAACTAACAACAAGGGAGACTAGAAGCAGCGCAGATAGATGTACATGTACATATCTTGACTAGCTTGAGGGAAAGACACAAACGGGAAAAATCTGAAGACAAAATTGACTGTCATGAGTGAGTGTCATCACCAGGACTCGAACCAGGGACCCTTGCTTGTAGCTACAAATTACATTACATGTACATGTATACCTATAACAATAGGTAAGCAGAAAAGATAGCCGAAGACAATAGGAGTATAAGTATTATAGCACAGAGGTAAAATAGGAAATATACCAATAGTCCGAAAATGTTACCGGTATAAACACTGTAATTCTGCTTCTTTGCAATTTGAGAGAAACAGATTGTGTGCTCGACATTTCTAATGGAATTAAACATCTGGAGTATAATAATAATAATAATCTGGAGTATGGCTCACCTATATCCCTGAAAGCAACAATGGCGCTGTCAATGTATGAATTGTGTGTGTGGGGGGGGGGGGAGAGACAGGAAACCGCTGGGTCAAGCAAGTAATGTTCGAAACTGTCAAATTCTTGTGCTCCTGTTCTAATTGCCTTTCTCGAACGAATTCCTACACATCACTCAACACCATAACACCGGATTGCAGATGTAGATGCAGGTTCTAGTACACTTCGTTTCTCCAGAATCACAGTTTTCGTGTATCGTGTGCTGAATTGCGATTCTGCAGAAAAAAAGGTTTACTACATGTACATGTACAGCGGATGTTCTTGTGTTCAGTGATGTCTGCATCCTTCTTTCTACCTATACATGTAGTTGAACTGTACTTTTTCGTTATTTTCTCTACGTCCATTGTTCATTTTTAGACAATGATCTGTGTCTGGAGGAGTACTTCTACTGCTTTCGCCGCTTCAACTATGCACTGGGCTCGGCGACATGCACAAGCGGGCTGTCCACTGTTTCGGTCTCCGGCACACCCGTCACTTCGGCCCAGTACAACTGCACGTGCCTGTCCGGCAATGCTGGCGCTCCTTGCAGAAGCGTGCGGGACTGCGTCGCGAATGCGGCCTCCCCAAGAGATAGGCTTCTTCAGTGCACAGAACTCTACCCAGAACGTAAGCAACCCCACCAATCTGTGCGCAAAATCAATGAATTGCTTGTTAAACTTTAAGTACACAAGAGAGATTGGAAGCTTTGTCACAGCTCTGAGTTTTATGTATTACTACGATCATCAGGCAACTGATGGCCCCAAAACGGGCAGCCTGAAAAACAAGGGGAGCAAGGTGGGAAATTCTGAGGGGTATCATAGCGCAAGAGTGAGGAGCAGGCGTTAAGTTGCCAAGTCTTCAGACTTGAAATTTTATTGAATAGTCCGTCGCTGTCAAATTCACCATGAACCGTGTATGCAACTTCATTTATAGAGCAGCTCTGCAGTAGGTTATGTATCTTATATTGCATAGCACGCTGAGTACACGCGGAATTGATCCCAAGTTCCCAAGAAGAGTAAAAAAAGTAAAGGGGATGGAATAGTGAAGAGAACAATGGATGAAGATGTGAACACGTTTAGTTCAGCACTCGTCAGGAATCCTGGTCGAACTACAGTGAAGCCTGTGACTAACGACCACCCCTTGGGGCCAGAGAAAACGGTCTTTAGTGGCAAGCGGTCCTTAGTTAGAGGTTTGCACCGTACAATCATACTATGGAATGTGAGACCGCCCGTGCCAGGCGAAGTGGTATGTAGTACCAGGATGATCGTTAGTCACGGTGGTCTTTAGTTACAGGCATTATTGTAATGCGCAATGCAACACTATACAGTGTCATCCTCACTATTGCATATCCATTCATTGTTGTTACTGCACATTTTAATCAATCGATTGTTACCGTTTACCAAAGTATTCATATGTTATTCCAATAAGCTTCTCTCTAAGATTCTAAGATTTTTTGTCTTCTCGTGGTTTGGTTTTTCTTCACTTCCCATCTTTTTTCCCTTCTAAGGACTCACTGTGACGCCTTCCAGGGTGGATGTCTTCACGGGCGCCAGCGTCACCTTCAACTGTACCAGCGTATTGCCCATCACATCAGCAGGGGTGAGTTGGACTGTCCCTCCACAATTGCCCATGGACAGCTTGCACTTCTCAGCGCAAGGAGGCAACACGCTCACCATCGACCCTATCACCGCGAACGTCAGTCCTGATACCTTCGTTTCAACTACTTTTACTGTAACGTGCTCTGCGACCGTCCTTGGTGGCATGCAACGGGCCAACGCCGTACTCGATGTTCGTAAGTAACAGTTTCCATGACAATATGTGTAGGAGAAGTAGTTCAACTGTTTTGGCCAGCCAATCTTTAATACAGGGAAACCTGTCTAAGACGACCGCTCAAGGGACTTTCAAAATGTGGTCTCTGTTATCAGGTGGTCTTCTTATCCAGGGTCATTTGACAGGAAATAGCATCTCTTGATCCTGGTTTCAGTGGTCTCCTTGGACAGGTGGTCGCCTTATCCTTATCCAAAAAAACACACAGACAACGAATAAAGTACAATGGAGATGCAATAGACTAGTGTAGGGGAGAATATTTGGATCGGATGAACATGCAAGTCGGACACAATGTACTTTGAGTAATTCAGACGAACAGAAATCAGCCAGGGATACCGTTCACGCAGTCAACCAACAGCTCTAATACTGGCATTCTGTTCGTACGCGGTCTTTCTGCTGTCATCCCGATAACAATTCACTCAGAAGTGATAAACCATTAATTATATTTGTAACCCAATGCACACTGTCATACATGTGCATGTACTGGTGCACCTAGAAATTACAGCTGTGACGTCACACGGCATTGCTGTACCATGGTAACGGCAAGTGCGTTGTTTGTTTGCTTGCTGTCCTTTCAGGTGACTTCTGCACACAGCCAGACGCGTGCCAGCAGTCAACTCTGTATCCCCCCGGTAGTGCCGAGTGTGTGTCCTCACCCTTCACTGCTCCTCACTGCGATTGCGTGGCTGGCGCTGCCGGCCAGGACTGCAGAGGGCTGGAGAACTGTTCGAATGTGTCCACTTCAGCTACGTTTTTTGACTGTGCACGTGGGATCGGCTGCACACTGAATAACGGAGGCAATAGCGCAAGTGAGTTGTGAATAGAAAAGAGGAGCTGCATGCTTTCTTTCACAAAGACATTTTGTCATTTTCCGCTGTGTGCGTGCGTATGTGTGTGTGCGTGCGCGTGCGCGTGCCTGTTTGTGTGTTTGCTAGAGACTGTGAATATGATTGCACATGCTCTTTTTCGGCCAGTTGATGTACATGAACATGTCATGTACGTCTGTCTGTCTGTCTGCATATCTGTCTGTCTGTCTGTCGGTCCGTCTGTCTGTCTGTCTGTCTGTCGGTCCATCTGTCTGTCTGTCTGTCTGTCTGTCGGTCTGTCTGTCTGTCGGTCTGTCTGTCGGTCTGTCTGTCTGTCGGTCTGTCTGTCTGTCTGTCTGTCTTTCTACGTGTCCGTCTGTTGGCGTGTCTGTCTGTCCTTCTATTCACCTTCTCCCATAATTCATTTTGCCCTTTTTGCAAGAATGAGCACCTAGGATTCCTGCGTCCAATCTTAGAGGAGGGGGAGGAGGGATCTACCGGCTATTTCCGCTTATCATGTCTACGTTCTGATGTTGTGCGAGTTCTCTTTAATTTCAAAGGTTCAATATTAAAATGTTGTTTTTTCCTGGTCGTCTTTGCGGTGCAGGTCAGTACTTCAATTGCAATTCTGGAAACGCCATCCTGCCAAGCCTCAGCATGTTAGCAGTCCTGGCGCTAAGCGCTTTGTTCATGTAGTACGACTGCACTCCAGTCGGCTATCCTACATGTACCGCCGCTGCCGCGCAGGGGACAACTCTTACAGCACACATGTACATGTACATGTACATAATATTAACAATAATAATAGTTACAGTTCGCATGTCACTCTTGGAAGGATCCATGGGCTTAACGCATCTGTCAACGAAATCCAGGCAGAAGAGCCAACAAAAGGCATCTCATTATTGTTAGAACGTGTCGCAGTAAGAACAACTACGCAAGCGCAGCACATTTTTCCACAAGCATCAGCCATTTTTTCTTATCTAGAGCCAGTTCAAAACAGTCAGAAATATCATTATTGGCGTGCTTTAGATCATTTCTCAATATTGTCAATCCATCTGAGATGGGGTTGGCCCCGTGGGCGCTTGATGTCCCGGGTATTAATTGCCATCTCCAGTGCTTGGTAGGACGCTGAGTTACACTGCGTTACGCTGCGTTACGCTGAGTTACGCTGAGTTACGCTGAGTTACGCTGAGTTACGCTGAGTTACGCTGAGTTACGCTGAGTTACGCTGAGTTACGCTGAGTTACGCTGAGTTACGCTGAGTTACGCTGAGTTACGCTGAGTTACGCTGAGTTACACTGAGTTACGCTGAGTTACGCTGAGTTACACTGAGTTACGCTGAGTTACGCTGAGTTACGCTGAGTTACGCTGAGTTACGCTGCGTTACGCTGAGTTACGCTAAGTTACGCTAAGTTACGCTGAGTTACGCTGAGTTACGCTGAGTTACGCTGAGTTACGTACATGTACATTGTAATTGTTAAACTTACAAGTAGATACATAGATACATGTACATGCATTCAAAACACTGGAGCCATTATCGTTTCAGGTATTCAGACAGTAAAGCCGTCGCTGGTTACTCTTTTCATAAAAATAAATTAGTTTTGACATTTGGTTACTAAAAACATTAGTTTTGACATTCGTATGTACATGTGCAACATTGTTTTGATTTTTGCCTTTGTTCTTCCTTGATTTAGTCTCCTACTTGTACATGTACGTGTACATTTCGTTCTATCTCGTCACTGAGTGAGTAGATCTACGTGTTCGCACGGGTATCAGCTGGGTTGCATGTGTACAGTCACTCTGTGGGTACACACATGTACTGCATCCATAATTTGTCCCATTACAAATGTACATGTATGTTACCTGTCAGTGCTTGATGACCGCATCCACATTTTTGCAGTGCGCTCTTCACATTTTAGATTTAGATTTCAGCAGCGCCGATGAAAACAGTATTATGCTTTCCACTGGTTTGTGCCTACATGTATAAGCTACATATACATGATTGTATACTTTAACCCCGCAATTCGATCTCAGCGAACTGTTGTCTGCACTTCAGCTAGCTCCATATATTGAGTTTGCATAGTTTATCGGTTTATTTCCGTTTATCGGTGGTTTTCACTGAGGATTTTTCTTCCGTTCTGTTAAAATCTGGATTTACGTTCATCCACTTGTATTTACTTATTGATTGTGGTTTCACGGACTCTTTCTTTAGCCCGTCAAAGAGGCTGTTACCTATCTATTATCATATGTCCTTGTGTACTTGCGGTCACGCATTTTACATGATGGTCCGACGCGTGGTTAATTTCTCTAATTTTTTACGGTAACCGGACCGCCTCTTGTACGGGCAGAACTCAAAACGATTCATTGATCGCCAGCATGTTCAGGCTGTCCGCCTTCCCCGTGAAAAATAAAATACAGGAAATAAAAATACAGAAAGGAAGAGGACATAATTATGGATACGAGTTAAGAGAAACTCTCCATCACTGTAACCAGATACTACAGTCAGAAAGTGCAACAATTAGGCACAAAGCTGAAAAAGTACTGAAACATTCGACGTACTGACACCTAGCTTCAACACATCTCCGTTGCGCTAACCGACAGCCTTTCAACTCGGAAAGTTCAATGTTATGGCAAGACAAAAGAGCGGAAGGTAAGCGCAACGAAAACGAGCACAAGCTATAGTCCCAACGGAACAAAGAATGTCGATTGTTACTGGACGACGACGAGACCAGTAGGATACTTGGCAAAGCGGTCTAACTACAATTCGGAGCAGCAAAGCAGCGCACCACCCAACTTGGGTGGCTCATAAATATCAAAGATAAGTAAAGAAGGGGGAAGCTTTGCGAAAACGAATTGTGCAAGCCGAAAGCCAAACTCCAACGGTACTCTTCATTCATGACATTGTGATGGACTAGTAGTTGACTACAAAACAAGTTGTTTCACACGACATACGTTTCGCCGTATCGTTCGTGACGGCTCATCAGGTGTGCAATTTAATACTCGGATGTTGAGCCAATAATAAATGAGCCGAGCCAAGCTAAAAGGTGGCTTAGGCATAATTTTTGGAAATTTCTTTTTTCTTGCCAAAGTGATGTGTACATCCAACTTCCATCATGGAAAGTTTGGTGCCCATCTGAAATGTATATGTGCCATAAATAAGCATACATTGTGCACATGTCACAGAATGGCTGGTATCAATGACACTAAGGATTCCAAGACCTTCCCAAACTCCAAGAAAACATGGGACACCAAGTAGAGACAAAGCTTAGCAGGTGTGCAAGAAATACAAGAAGAATGAGCACTTGTGTTCTAATTAGAAGATCCAAGAAAGAAGAAATAACAGATCTACATTAAATTTTCATCATGACTCGTATTATTTTATCACGCAATACGAATTTTCATATCCTCCATCATGATGTTGTGACTATATGTTTCGCTGCGGTGGGGAATGTCGCATCTTACCAAGACAGTCCGTCATACTCTCTCCAATCACCTATGCCAGGATGAATTAATCCTTTCATTTAGCTCGTAGTGCAGTGCCAGAGATCTAGCTCCATTGGTGTACTTCCCTCGCACCTACATATAGGTCAAGTAGACTGCACATCGCTAACAAGCGGCACTGGTTCTCTGTCCGTCCTAGTCCATGTCTTTCTCCTTCCCTGCCAAGGATGCTGGTAGAAGGCGCCACGCGGGACAAAATGCTAGCAGGTAGAGTCAATGCATCGCTTCGTCGTGTGGCACTATTTCCTTGAAACGAGGAATTTTTGCAATCCAGTACGCCACGTCATGAACACTAAATTTGAAGGTAGCCGAAACAAAGTGAAACCTTGCAGCAAGAGCCAACTCACCAGGCCGCTTGTCAGAATGATAGTCGGAAGGCTTGTAGACGTCTCCACATAGCTACACTCGCCGCTCTAGTCGTGGCCAAGATAAGAAACACAGCCACTATGCATGCGCAACTCTTCCTCGTGAAGTAGGTTTTGGCGCACACGGATACAGAATGTCATCCTGCTCACCTCCACATTCTCTAGAAGCTCCAATACGATCTCTGGCAACGCCGAGGAATCCCCACAACGATGAAAGAGGGAACACTGAAGAAGTGTTGCTCAAACATAAAAGGCTTCTCTCTTCATTCGCTTGCAAATTTGAAAGTGAATATTTTCGCGATCGCGCTCGAGTAGAATTTTGCCAACTGTGACGTTTTGGTGATTTTCTCGATTTGTTGGCAAAACACGAAGCCACTTTTTAGCTTGGCGCGGCTCAAATATAGAAAGGAAGGGGATATAATGGATACGAGTTAAAGGGGCACTCCGGCTTCATTTTCGACGCCAAGTTTTCGATGCCAAGACGAAGGTAGGTGAAAGAGAAGACCCCTCGAACAAGAACGAGTCTCCAGAAGCGATCGAGTCGAGCAGGAAGACGACTTTTGAATTTCGCCGAGCGAGCGCTGATGACGTAATGAGAGAATAGCTTGCCAGTGGAAATGCATCTGCGCACATACATTTCACATACTTTTTGGCCAATTTTCAATCGAAGAGGAGGTTGTTTCTATGTTCTCTCAACGTCGTGAGCGATCCCGTCTTCTATGCCCTTCCAGGTACCCTCAAGGTCCTCCAGAGGAGAATTTATCTCCAGCGAAGCGTTGTTGATCCGCTAAATTCGTCTTGAGACATATTCACCCAGTGCAGTGCTGATAAATGTAGAATGTTGAATCTGTGATAATTGTTGACGATGGAGAGAGAGGCTGATAGCCGCTGTCGCAGGGAGAATGAAGCTGCTGGAAGTAACAACGGGGAGCCCGTTTGTATCACCTGAACAACCAGACTTCAAAGCAGCTTGACCAAATCGGAGGGTGCCTCGTTGCTTACTGTGAATATTACACCGACATGAATTACTACAAGTACACTGGTGAGTTTTTATCTTGTTTTGTTCGTATGCTAGTACCCTGGCCTGGAGTTCTCGTTAGCAAATTCCTATTTCCTGGCGTTTCCTAAACATTCCGTGTAGTACTGAATACGTGATCAAGTATTCCGATTTGGGTAGATGTGGAATTTGGACATGTATTTTATAAAAAAATTCTATTTTCCCAATAGAGCGTTTGTAGTGAAATGGTTGCCCAAATACAACGAAATTGATTCTGCAGTTCTACAACTTGTACTGAAATCCAGTCAAAGTAAAAATGATTCTTCATGACAGTTGAGGGCAATGAAATCTGATCCAGGCATAACGAATAGTGACGCCTGCCACCCCGAGAACGAATGCCCATTTGGTGGGGGATACCTAAGTACTCGAAAGTGGTGCGTGTTTCAATGAGGCATGGAAGTTTTATGATATGATCTCTGGTCAATGCAACATACGATAGCCATCATGAATTGCAGGCTTCGAACGCAACTCAGACCAGAATTGGCAATTCCCTAAGTTTATAATTCCATGGCCCCAGCTGTGGTTATAGAAGTTGTTTTGCACATTATTCTTATAGTCGATAGGTTTATACTGATGGCCACAAACAACGGCAGTTCAAACTTCACTGACGTGTTCATGAGCTGAGAGATTTCTCTCCACTATTTCTGTTGTGCATACAGGTCTGTCCAATATGCATTGACCGTATTGGGTATGGTATCTGCTCTGAGAAGGGAATCGCTGGAGCCACAGTCCAATTATACAGGCTTTCAAGAAACAGAGAGGATCCATCTTTCCAAGCTGATACCTGATGTGTACCGACAGAATTCTCACGAGATACCTTACGGACTACGTGTGGTGTGTACTTCATAGTACTCCTTCGACTACTATCTAGAATTAAGTCGACTGAAACAAGTTCAAACAACTTTGGCTTCAAACGAGCCGTCGATTAGACAAACAAAACATTCTCTCATATACTGGAGCACTCTGACAACTCACGACCTATTCCTAACGATTTCCACCGCTTATAAATATGTAGAGTGCTGATTGGAATGTGCTCACAATCTCAACAATTCAGTGCTATAATTATTTGAACAATGTGTTAGAAATTATTCCACTTTTCCTTCTATAAGATTAATGTTGTATCCACATATAATCCACAGTGCTCCAAAGTTTCAGAGTTCTCAGGGTATCAAACAAAATTATTTCAAATACAGTGAAATTGTTCGTGGACATTATAGCGTAACTAATTTACTTGTAGTTCCCTGGTCCTTTTCTTTGCTATAAATTAATCCTTTGCTCTCTAGCCGCCTGCGACTCCAACAGTGAAATTGTTAGTTCATATTTATAATGTGGGAGGGGGTTGAACATATATTTTATAAAAGGGACCTACAACTGTAATACCACATTACAGTAGCCAGCAAATGTGTAGAAAACAGAAATGCATGTTCCCATCATTGTACATGGATGGGCGCAGCAGGCCGAAGCTATCAGCCAGAACAGGATTTACAATCACTTAGAGATACTTGAGCTATTCCAGTATTCTCCGTGAGCTGTCCCATTCTACAATGGTTTATGCCACCATTATTTCTGGTAGTATCCATGTGCATAGTTCCAAGACCATCTCGGATGCTTCAGCAATTTGTGCCACGGCAAAAGACAATGCTTGACTCGGTCACTGGGGCTGTCAAACTTCCCATCACAAATGAACTTCAATTTCTCATCTGTTTCAAGTATATGTACTGCCATGACTTGACCATGCTTCATCCACAGCTGGGCGAAGATTGTGGCGTTGAATTCCATAGCGCACCTTCTTGCTGCCTTGCAGGAGTATGTTGAGAGAAGTGAACATATTTTTACTAAAAAGACAACAGCCACTGAAGAGGATAGCATTAGCAATAGCCTTGGGTGAATTTCCTGCAGGTACACGTTGTTGGTAGGTCTACTGGTCGGTCTCCATATCGTCAAGTTCAGAAATCACCTGTACTACACATCTTGTAGAAGGGATCCTGATCGAATATTTTTCTGGTCGTAAAATTCACTAAACTGAGGGCGAGACAAATAGTCAGTACTCCCCGATTCCGTCAAGCTGCTTTGAAGTCTGGATGCACATGTGATGCTAACACGCTCCCCGTCGTTACTTCCAGCAGCTTCATTTTCCCTGCGACAGTGGCTATCAACCTCTCTCTCCATCGTCGACAATTATCACAGATTCAACAGTCTACATTTATCAGCACTGCACTGGGTGAATATGTCTCAAGACGAATTTAGCGGATCAACAACGCTTCGCTGGAGATAAATTCTCCTCTGGAGGACCTTGAGGGTACCGGAAGGGTATAGAAGACGGGATCGCTCACGACGTTGAGAGAACATAGAAAACAACCTCCTCTTCGATTGAAAATTGGCCAAAAGGTATGTGAAATGTATGTGCGCCGATGCATTTCCACTGGCAAGCTAATCCCTCATTACGTCATCAGCGCTCGCTCGGCGAAATTCAAAAGTCGTCTTCCTGCTCGACTCGATCGCTTCTGGAGACTCGTTCTTGTTCGAGGGGTCTTCTCTTTCACCTACCTTCGTCTTGGCATCGAAAACTCGGCGTCGAAAATGAAGCCGGAGTGCCCCTTTAACTCTCCATCACTGTAACCAGATACTATATACAGTCAGAAAGTGTAACAACTAGGCACAAAGCTGAAAAAGTACTGAGACATTTGACGTCCTGGCACCTAGCTTCAACACATTTCCGTAGCGCTAACCGACAGACTTCCAACTCGGAAGGTTCAAGGTTATGGAAAGACCAAAGAGGGGAAGGTAAGCTCAACGAAAACGAGCTCAAGCTACAGTCCCAACGGACCAAAAAATGTCGATTGTTATTGGACGATGACGAGACCGGTAGGATACTTGACAAAGCGGTCTAACTACAATTCGAAGCAGCAAAGCAGCACACCACCCAACTTGGGTGGCTCATAAATATCAAAGATAAGTAAAGAACGGGGAAGCTTTGTGAAAACGAATTGTACAAGCCGAAAGCCAAACCCCTACGGTACTCTTCATGCATGACATTGTGATGGACTAGTTGACTACAAAACAGGTTGTTTCACACGACGTGCGTTTCGCCAAAACCTTGAACCGTCCGAGTTTTAAACTAAACAATCTGCTGATGAGATAACATCGCACGACACTGACCAACCATACTGACATACATGTATAGCGTAACTTGTAGTTCCTTTGTCCTTTTACGTTCTTATAGGATTTTGTAGATATACATTTTTAACTCGGATTCTTAGTATTACTATTATCATGTGGCCACCCACAATGCCCAGCACCAGGGGCTCCGAAATGTGGCGAGACTGCCGTCGTTGGTGCGCAGACAAAGCAACCAAATCCGGGATAGCCATCCAGCCATGCCGATGCCAACACCCGCCGATCATCGCCAGACAATGCGGATTGCCCCGCAACAACTGGCAAAAAAACCTGAAAGAGGCAAGTCTCAACAGGAGCAAGTACCTCCTCACCCAAATCCATAGCCGGAAAAAAGTATGCCCATTTGTGCCTTAAACCATGTGTCATCGCAGCATAGGCCGCATGAGGCTCAACAGCCGCAAATTCTTTTAGAACATTCAGCTCTCGCATCCACTCATCCGCACGCTGAATTGCAAAATCACGACAGAAAGCGGAAGTGCCCAGCCCAGCACCAAGGTAACGAACACCATCCGTCTTCACAACAATAGCCGTGTCTCCAAAGTGCTCGTTGGCAGCCACCTCAAGCCCAGGCTACACAAGCAACTGAGTTTATTTTCATGAATAATGTATCCATAACCTTCGGCATGAGTTTTCAAATTATCATACCACACGCGGAGCGGACCAAACTTCCCCGCTGCGGCAGAGTCGTCCGCATACTATCCTTGGCAGACTCTACCCGCAGAAGCACGCAACGATTTGACCAAAGGTGTCAATGCAACAGCGTATATTGCCATTGATAAAGGATCACCCTGTGTGGTTCCCTCACGAGACAGGATGCTTCCACCTCCAGATACATGCAACGTTGCTGGAGACTGGTAAGTAATTATTTGAGATAGTGGAGGGCACACCCTGGCAATGTTGTGAAGGGCGGCGCATCGATTGAGGCTATTGAATGCATTCTGGGCATCCACCAACAACAAAGCCTCCGTTTCGTCATGCTGAAAAGCAATTTCCATTGCCTGGTGCATCGACTCAAGACCTGTTGGGATCCCGGTACAGGCCTGTTCAACGCCACACTACTCCATAATATCGGACCTCATTACAGACAAGGCTGCCTTTGAACAAATTCGGCGAAATACCTCGCCCACCCCGATAGGTCTAACTCCAGGATTTTTGTTAAGTGCAATGAGACGGCAAGCAACATAGGGTGCCAAAGATCCTTCAGGCAATTGGACTGTATAATTATATGATACGCGTAAAAATGGCTACGGCATCACGTAGGTCGGTCGATGCACCCTTATAGCACGTACACATTCTGCGCCAAGCACCAGAGTCCAAACCAGACGGGCCCGCCGATCCGCGGACCGCCAAGGCTGTTTTCTTTATCAAGTCAATATTAATACCGGCATAGTAAATTTCATTCACATGGCCCAGTGGTCCGGGAAGCAACACATCCGGATTAGGCACAGCAGGCGCAGGGTGTTTCTGACGCAGGATATCGCCAACCACGCAATCAGTGCCACCCACGAGCACCACATCATTCATAGCAAGAACCGGCGTAACAGACTGCTTCTTCCCGCAAGAGCTGAGCATACGCACGGCTGTCGTAACTCTGCCCTGGGCCATAAGTTTACCAAACCGGCGTGGTTGATCATCATCAAAACGACCCCCATGACCAGTCCTACCCATTAAGCCGCGCTGGATCGTGTCGCCCTCATCGAGGAGCTCGATAAGATTTCCATCCTTCCATAACCCAAGACGGCGCTCCAAGTGTTTGCCACAATCCTTGGCTGCCATGGCACGCCCTACGCGTTGTAGTAATAAAGAGGGTAACATGAAGAACCTAGTACTAGTGTACAAGGAATCAACATCCACTCCCTGAGATATATTGAATTTTCGTAGTTCCGTAGTGAGCACTCGAACAAAAGCCTTGCCGGAGGCCCCATTAGGCACATGAAAAAGCTTTTGTTGCCAACCAATAACCTTTTTATAGGCACGGATGACAGTATCGGATGGTATGGCTCGAGGGTGTTGCTCCGCCAGGGGCGTTGAGACAGGTGCATTACCCGACCCCTTGGCACGGCCTACTCTATGCGCTAAGTCAACACGCAGAGGCTGCCAGGAACATTCAACATCTGGCAAAGCGCATCCACTGTCATTTTTGTGTGGTTCGGAAGAATCGGTCAACAACCTGGAGGAAACCGATACAGAAGCGCGGACGACATTATCAGGTGGTACACCTGGAGGATGTTCCTCAACAGGGGGCGTCGAGACAGGTGCATTGGTCGACCCCTGAGCAGGGTCTTCACGATGCAGTAAGTCAACACGCAGAGGCTGGCAGGGACACTCAACGCTAGTCAAGGCGCAGGCACTGCCAAGTAGCTCATGTGGCGCGCAAGAATCAGTCCACAACCTAGGGGAAACTGGTACAGAACCCGTCCGTGAACATGGTGCTTCACCATCTGGGCGCACACCTCTCACACTTGGGATAGGTACGGCGATGGTGTACGAAGCCATCCCCGAGTGTCCACCGGGCGGCTGCGGAGCGGAAGACCCAGACAACGCGGTGACGGAAGCCCCAACACGACCATCAGCCCGCGTAACGTTAGGGATCCCATCACCAGCACCATGCTCAGCAGGCGCCAAGCAGCCACGAATAGATGCCATACAAGAGTTAGTGTTACCATTTGGATCGGCACTACATGATATACATGTAGCTGTACTAGTGGTTTGCCCGACCATCGGGTCCGGCACATTAGTTTGAAACCTTGCTTCTATGGATCCGGGAATGCGGTTGGCACTGTGCCTTTCCCGACCGGGGTAACAGTCAAAGCACGGATTGCGGCTTGAGGCACACACGCAGCGAACGCATGTGCCCCCTTTCGCACAGCCACAACAAACTATTGTGGATTACCAAATGCGGCTACCAACAGCGATGCGCGCAGCCCCAACAGAGGAGAAGCAATGACCCTGCCAAACGCACTGCAGAGCCATTGGAATGGCCAAAAGAGCTGATTGAAAAGAACTTTTTTACGGTCAAACTCTACGTATGTTCGCAAGCCTAGTTGAAGCCGGAAGCTAATTAGATCGAGAAAGGAGTAGTGTGACGAAGGCACCAATCTCGTGGCAGTTTGCCGAACTAACGATAAAGTTGATTTGAAGTGACCGTGGTGAAGAATTTGCAAAGAGTGATGAATAGTAATAATGCTGGTATCGGTGTTACGGACCGAGCGGCAGTGAAACCGTACATGGTATCGGCCGCCGTTGCAACCGGCCACGCCGCACTGCCACTTACACATGCAAGGCCAGGGAGCGACCACGCACGCGAACAAATGCAATGATAATGTTGAGCAGGGGCGAAAGAACGAAGCAGAGCGTAGTGGTATTTTTCTGTGTATTTTGATAAGGCGAGCGGCAATGAATCCGATCTACTGCCGCTGCCGACCGATGCTGCTTATTTGACTCAATAGGAAGGGATAAGCTGCAATAACGATATTGATTTGTCACCAGGCTTGTTGGATATGACCCAAGACATATGTATCCAAGCTATCGAGAAGTCAAAGCAAGCGTGAAGTCAAAGTAAGCCCAGATGGAAGAGATCAACAAGAAAAATGACTCCAGGTCAAATGCGCAAGGAGACTTACAAAAGTCTTTCTCGGACGCCTAGCCGATTATTGTTATAAAAATCTCTCGAATTACGAGAGACGGAAACAACGCCACTATCAAGAGCAGCACCAGCATCGGCAGCAGCAGCAGCAGCAGCATGCAGGCAACAGGCGCTAGGCAGCGCAGCAAGCAGCCACGTCCAAGCAATTCAAGCAAGGTCCCGTTTCAGCAGCTCGCCAGAAACCAAAGCCAGAACCAGAGCTGAAAGCCAGAGCTCAAAACGGAGCCCAAGTGAGAGCTCAAAACACCCTGACCGACTTCCAGAGCTTCCAGACCAGATCATTTGCATTACTTAGCAACAAATGCCTACCTGCTGTGGTGTAATTTCACCACTTGCCTCTTGCTGACTTTTTGACACACTGCTTCATCACACGTGACATACTTTGACTTTACTCCGGCTCGGCGCCCCGCCATCGGGGCCAGTCGTCACTCTACTCCTGTTTCCTATCACCCTGTCTCCCTGCTTCACACCTGACTCATACTCACAGTCGACTAGTTATAGCTTGCTACTGCCCAGCGCCCTGCCATCGGTGCGGGTGGCAAATAATTTACGCCTAGCGCCTGATCTGTATTATCCCGCCTCCCTGCCTTGCGCTTGACTCGCACTGTGCTACGGTCCAATGCAACATCTTCATTGACATCAATGCAGGCCAGCTTTACACCTGGCTTTGGGGGGGGGGGTTCCCGCCTCCCCGTAAGCAGAATAGATTGCGCGCTTCGGGCGGAACAGGCACATAATATTAACCTACCCATTGGCAGCAAGAAAGCGGACGTGCGACTAGTTGTTGGAGGTGACGGCGCTGCGAATACCTATACTGGCTCTCAACGTCTGTTTAGCACAACTCCATGAGCGACTCTGACCCACGCTGCTACCTGGAGCTTCACGAGGTGTTTGTCGCGCTGGAAACAAAGCGTCTGTAAGTTTGTATCCCTGGTGATGGTTTGGCCTGGAGAGCAGTATGTAAGTGGTGCTTTTCAGGCACAATCTTCCTCAGCCTACTCGAGCTCAACTGATGAGGGGTGAATTCCCCGAAGCACTGTGTATTGAGCAGGGAGTGGTTCTTTCTTGCAGGTTTGCCGAGTGGAAGGTGCGGCGTGCTCCTCGTGTGCTCCAGGTGGCAGTCGTGAGTCAGTCAAGTGTCAAGTACGGCAGGAAGCGTGTGTTCGTAGTTGGAACAATCAACTTCATGACTATTACCGCCGAAGTCGCAACTTCTAAGTTTATAAAATTTATAATAATAATTATTAGTATCTTTGTAGAAAGGAAAAGGAAATATAGATACGAGTTGAAAGTAACTCTCCATCACTGTAACCGCGCTACGGAGATGTGTTGAAGCTAGGTGTCAGGACGTCGAATATCTCAGTACTCTGTCAATTTTGTGCCTAGTTGTTGCACTTTCTGACTGTATATAGTATCTGGTTACAGTGATGGAGAGTTACTCTCAACTCGTATCTATATTTCCTTTTCCTTTCTACATCTATTTGTGCCTCAACATCCGAGTTTCAAATTAGTATCTTAGTGTATTTTTATTTTTGGAGTTTTACGAGTTGATTCTAAGTACTATTATGAGATGAAATAAAAATAAAACAGGAAAGGGCACAGGCCCTGATACGTGCAAGGGATAGCAATCAACCTTGCACATGAATTGAGCATGTGTTCTAAATACATGAAAATGTAAATGCAAAACAATAAAAAACAAAAACACAAACAATGAGCAATAACTTCAGGACTGGGCACAAGTCCTAAACCAGTAAAAGGTGCAAGAGATAATAATCAACCTTGCGAGTTCGAGTCAAAGCATGCGGACTCACAACAAAATGGCATCAACGTGAGCAAAGACGAAGAAGATCTTTCTGGATTGTTTTTCATTAGTACAACGTAGCTTCCTGAGGAGTGTTGTGCGAAAACTAGTTCGAAGTAAGATTTTTTTGTTCATCATTTCTTCAATAATAAGGCGAGAAGGCACTGAACGAAGTGCCAACCTACGAATACAACTTCAGTGCAACAACGTGCTCTTCCTGCTTACACAAAACAGGCTTATGAAGTGCCTTCTCGCCTTTGGTTACGTATTCTTGTTACCTTTTTTGCCTTTCCTCTAGTGGTTTTATTGCACTTGTATCTTGATGTTATTTCTAACACCTTTCTATTTCCAGTACTTAACTTCAGCTTCTTTGGTTGTATCCTTAGTTCCGTATTTTTCCCACTGATGATAGGAACGAGAAAATCAATTCTGGGTTTTCAATCATATTTTTGTTATAAAATACACAGTAATACATGTCAAACAAGTAACATAGTTGCGTGATGTCGGCGGCCTTCATCCTATTCATAGCTTTATTAAAATTATTATCTCCACGTAGATTATTTGAATAATAATAGTAATAAGAAAGGTTTGCTCCCCACACCGGAGCTCGCGCTATTCCGCCGACTTTACTTGACACTTGAAAATAATAATAGTAATAATAATAATAATTGAAACTCGGATGTTGAGCCTTAATGTAGAAAGGAAAAAGACATTATGGATACGAGTTAAGAGTAACTCTCCATCACTGTAACATGATACTTTATACAGTCAGAAAGTGCAATAACTAGGCAGAAAACTGACAGAGTACTGAGACATTCGACGTACTCGTATCCTCGTATCGTGTCCTTTTCCTTTCTACATTTATTTATGGCTCAACATCCGAGTTTCAAATAACAGTAATAATAATATTATACAGGGAATGACAAGGCAGCGAATGTTTTATTGTGTTACAGGGAAGGAGGGTTGGGAATAAAATATTGAGAAGAAGAGAGAATGGTGGATATCTCAATGAGGAGCGAAGCGTGTGAATGTAAAGAGGTGGAAAGACGATAAAACAAATCTTGAAAACGTATTGCGGATTAGGCGAATGCACCTGCAAAGCCACCATATACTGTGCGGTTTAATTTCAAGCGATCAATTTCTACCTCGAGTCCCTGGCCGTTGGGGAAAAATAAAATCCAAAGATATGCATGTGTATTGGATGGGATGGACAAAGCCACATATTATCGTATGGTGTCATAGTGGGTCCCTTCGGAGCTTGTTCCGATGCCGTATGCATCATTCTCCCTCAAGTCGGGCATGTCAATCTCGTTGGAGAACTGCACTGGAACTTTGGCATATTACCTTATTGTGTCATAGTGGGTCCCTTCGGAGCTTGTTCTGATGCCGTATGCATCATTCTCCTTCAAGTCGGGCATGTCAATATCCTTGGAGAACTGCACTGGAACGTTGGTAGTCTCTGCCCTGGGTTCCTGTGCACGGCGCTTGATAATGCAAACAAATATCATCGTGGAAATGAGAAACCCAGCCAAGAAGCAAGCAACGCCAACAATGATAGTTGTGCCTGATGTTGCACCGCTTGAGTCGGACGAGCCTGGGGAAGAGAAGGGATGTGTGTGGGAAGGGGTTGGGGCTGGAAGAAGGAAGAAAACACTATTAGTTCGCGCAAAATGGTACGGTTAATTATCCGTCAGATGCATGCTGCCGATAACTATTCTGTCTCCAATAGGCATTATTCCCGTAGATTCAAATAGGGCTTTCAAATGCAAGATCACACCGTGAAGCAACTTGGAAGAATGAGTATGTATGCGAAGTGTATCGGGGGAATGCATGCAGGGAGATAGTGGGGGTTCGAATCCTAGATTCTCGAACGCTATGCTTTTTTGCCTAGCTCATCATGCATGTTATTCAAACAGATGGAAACTGTTTGCAATACAATGATGTAGCCGATCAGTTGGTTGTGGTATGGTTGGGCATTATTGCTGTCCTTGTCGACGTAAAACACTATAAGACCGCAACGAAGTTGGGGCCAAAGAGAAAGTTTATAATTATAACCCAATAAATTCTTAGGAAATTAGAGGCCACATGCCACGTGAGTTCCCTTCGGAAACGGACACGATAATTTACTTTACTTACTCTACATGCCACGTACTGCTCTTTTCTCTCCGAAACTCAACACTTGCAAGCCAGATATGAAAGAAAGAAAAAATCATCAGTCACACCACCGAGACTCGAACCAGGGACCTTGCAATTCGCGAGCAATGCTCTAACCAACTGAGGTACAGTATGACTCTTATCCACAGTGATGGTAAATCTATCCTTCTTCGATCAATCCATATCTGGCTTGCATCATACTGGCAACTCACACCAATCAAGAGGGCCCTCGGCCATTTGCTTGATATCATGGGGAGCGCATCAAACTATGTCCACTGTGAATATCTGGCTTGCAAGTGTTGAATTTCGGAGAGAAAAGAGCAGTACATGGCATGGGGCCTCTAATTTCCTAATACTTTGAAATTCTCCGTGAAGTCCAAATTTGAAATTGCAATTTGTATTTTGCTCGCAGTGCACATAGTACAGTTCTGGCCAGAGAAATCCGATTGCCGTATGTCGACAAATTCTTGCAAAACAAATTTCGGCCGCAACTGATTTTCCGCCAAATATGATCAGGGCGAAAATAGCCGAAAATAAATACGCTCGGAATATTTGTTGACTTTGAAAAGTAGAGTGAAACCTGTCCCAGAAGACCACTGCAGCCTAGGACCAACGGATGCTGCTTCCAGTCAAATGACCCTGGATAAGGAGACCACCTGGTTACAGAGACCACATTTCGAAGGTCCCTTGAGCGGTCGTCTTAGACAGGTTTCAATGTACTTGATAAAAGCAGTGCTGCGCTCGAGTGCGCAGAGTGTTTTGTGTGGTGCTAGGACTGCATAGCCCTCGGCACTATTATATTCATGAGGTTGGGTTCCTCTGGCCAGGATTGTACAAATATGTACGGAGAGAGAAACACACACACACACACACACACACACACACACACACACACACACGAACCTGCAGGACACAGTCATGATGGCTTACCTGCACATGTTGAGCAGCTGGGATCGGCCACATCTAGTCAAAGAAAGACACAGGAAATGATCGACTTACGGATACAGACACATACACGCATGCACACACACACACAAACACAAACACACACACTTGCAGTGGCGGGTTTAGGGGGGGGGGGGGGGTGCGCGGGGGGCCTGCCCCCCCCCCCCCCCCTCAAAAGTTTCGACCTAGGTTTCGAAGAATAAAAGGTAGTGTTAGCTAGGCTCGGGGCGGGGGGCGCGCGCGCGGCCTGAAACAATCGTCAAAAAGCGGTTGCACGGTACGGTGCTGAAGCTGGTGTTGATTGTACACACTACCGTCTACAGAGTACAGTGGGCATGCGCGGCTACAGAAACACGGTGACCTGACTGTGTACACTGTACTGTCGATCCCTGTTGGGACGCGCTCCACGCATCTTCAAAGTACAAACATCGAAGAAAAGTCTTCGAGTCAACCAAAACACGATTCGAATGCCGAGGGCTCAGGCGATCATCCTCGTTCGAAACGTGTTTTGGATGACTCGAAGACTTTTCTTCGATGTCTCAGCGACAGCCCAAAAGGCCAAGCTCTAGCCAACAGAGTCTGGATGGATTTTTGCAAAGCGTTCCTGTGGCGGTGCAACTCCTGCTGCCGCTCCAACAGGAAACAGTGGGAGTGATGAAGTCGCTGTCATTCCAGTTGAACTTTCGGAGCGGACTGACCGTCACACTCCGCCAGACGTGGAAGCATCTGTTGTCAGCGAGCAGCCAGAACATGAAGAACAGCGCACAGTGACAAGTGGGCATAGTACCGCTGGCTATGTAAAGGATGCTTTGAGCGGTGATAAATCATTATTGTTGGACTCGCATAAATTGCAGTTAATTCGCTCGCATAACGGCAAATTTGAAGATTACAATGTACAATGCTTATGTTGCTGCGTGTACAGAAATACTGCTCATTTTGTGTGAGATTTACGTCTCCTTGACATCGGTTTTCAAAATGGCTGACCTGGGACAGTAGCATGATGTCATCTACCCCACCCCATCCCGGGCGTGACCCCCCC